GAAGAGACAGATGGAGGGAGGGAGGGAGAGGGATGAGTGCTGAAGCTGAGCGCAGGCAGGAGCTCCCTGGCCCCACCCTGCACCTGCCTCACGCGCCCTGAAGGATACGACGGTGTCGAGCAGCAGTACACCCAGGCTGCCCACAAGCCAGGGCAGGTGGTGCAGCAGGTAGCTGCCCTTGCTCTGGCCCTCCTCCGGGTTTTTGAGCAGCACACTCAGCCCGTACAGCGTGTTCCCCAGCATCACCAGCGCAAACAGTGAGTAGGAGATCCCCTGGGTGGACTTCCGGAGGAACTGGGGCAGGAGGGGGTCGGGTCAGAGACCTCAAACAGGCCTCTTGTCACTCTGGATTATAACTGTCCACATGTCCACCTGCCCTACCACAGAGCACCTGCTCTGAGCTGATCTTTCACTGAGTGCCCAGTGTCTGACATGGGCCCGACACACAGAAGGGCCTCATCTGGCACTCCTCCCACCAACAGAGGAGCCCTTCCAGGCCCCTGCCCAGGTCCACAGGAGACCGTGGCTGTGCCAGGCCTGCTGGCCCCATTCTACCCTGGCAGGCCTCCCCTCCCCGACTCCCCAGGTTTTCCTCTCCCCGCGGGCCTCCAAGCTCAGCCCCTCACCTTCCCCTGACCTCCCGCTTCCCCAAGACACACATGGGTCTCTTGGTAGCCTGGCTGGCAGGCCATACCACGCCCATTTTCCAGAAGCAGAAATGGAGGCTCGGAATTGGATTAGCTTGCCAAGCCCAGACTTTCTGAACCAAGGCTCCTATGCTGTGTACCCAGAGGGCCAGGGCAGCCAGGCCGGCTCTCCTCCACTTGGCCCCACCCGGCCCCTGCTGGAGGCTCACGTTGGTGCGGATCTGAGGCAGCCGGGACAGCAGGTACAACACACTGGAGACCGAGCCGATGACGAAGCCAATGATTTCCTGCCGAGTAAAGGGCTGTGGGGCAGAAGGGGGCACTTGGTGCCTCGTAGGGGCCAGAGGGGCAGAGAAATCCCTCCTCAGAGGGTGACCCCCACCCCACTTAACGCCCACAAGGCTGCGGAGGGGAGAGCCCTGGGGATGAGCCAGCCACGCCCACGCCTCACCTTGCTGCCTGGCTCCACGGACAGGAGCACCCGCCCCCGGAAGGTTTCCCTCGGGGCAGCCATGGGCCCAGTGGCGCTCAGTAGCGGTGTGGCGCACACCGTCCCCATGAGGAACAACAGCACAGAGTTGATGGGGGCAGACACTGCACACGAGGCAGGAGGGAAGCTGAGGTTAGATGGCTGAGTGGCAGCAGACGGACTGGGGGCTGAGGCCTGGCCTTGCCTCTCAGGGGCTGTGTGACCTTCGTAAGTGACCTAACCTCTTTGAGCTTTCATTCTTCATCTGTCGAATGGATACAACAGTACTCTTCTAGAGTTGTAAAGGTAAAATGCTGAGGGCAGGGGAGTCAGGCGGGGGTTATACGAAGCAGAAATGCTGATGAGACACAACTCCCTCCCCAAGTGCCTCCCCGGGTCCGTATGGCCTCAGCTGACCTTGTCTCCTGCTCCTGAAGGCTGGGGCAGAAGCAGCCTTGGTGACTTGTCCTCGTTTCCCCAGCTCCAAGCCCAGGGCTGGACACAGAGGAGGGGCTGGAGCTGGGTCTGCTGAATGAGGCCTTGGGCGAACAGAACTGGCCTGTGGTCGGGGTCAGGATTCACTCACTGCCCTCAAGCCTCTATCTTGGCCAGTTAAGGCTCAGGCTCTTAGATAAGGCCCGGGGAAGGCTTTCCGAGGTTTGGGTTATCACCCAGCCATGGGAAACCTGCTTCCTCCCACACTCCAGGCGCACTCCCCCCAGCCCCTCAGGCTGCTGGTAGAGGATCTGACAGAGGGCAGCCCCCATACTCACACAGAGAGGGGCGTTTCCTGAACTTGTAGTAAAAGTACAGCGTCAGCATCACCAGGTCTGCCAAGACGTAATATACCGCCGTGTAGGTCTGTAAGAGACACGGGGGTCCCGGGCATTGGCGCAATCCCAGGGTCTGGGGCCACGCTGCAGCAGCCCTCTGCCACATCCCAGCTGGGTGACCCTGACCAGGTCATTTCACCTCTCTGCGTTTCTGTTTCCTTATCTGGCAAGGAAGAGCTCACCTGGCAGAATGACAAATCAGGTGGGCAAAAGCCCAGCAAAGATCTAGGCCAACAAGTGCCACTGAACAGGTGGTCAGCGCTAGCAGTCAGGACGAAACAGGACTCCACGGCGAAGTGATGGCTCTGGTTTGGCCTGACACCAGGGCAGTTAGAACTTTTTGGTCCACTTGGGGAGACAGTGCCTTCCTGACTGGGAGCACCAGCTCTGCCTGTCCACAGGAGTGGGATGGCATCTGGGCCTCCCACGAAAAAACTCCCTTTCTCCTCGAGGGGCCCACACTCTGAAAGCTTGGTCAGCATTCTAGCACCCTGGAGGTGGAAGACCTGGCAATGTTCCTGTTAGATGTGCTCATATTGCAGATGGGGAAACTGAGGCCCAAAGAAGAACAGTGACCTGTCCACAGTCACAGTTTGGCAGACAGAAGGCGTGGAGCCCTCACAAGATGGAATGATGGGTCAGGGTTCCGGAGACCGGGTGGGGCAAAGAGCCTGGCATCTGCTCAGGCAACCCTGCAGGGTGAGGCAGGGTTAGGGTTAGTGCCACCTTCCCGGGGACCGGCCCACCTGCAGGGGCAGCTGGTCAGCAAGGAAGGAGCCGATGAGGTTGCAAGAGTCTCCGCCGATCCAGCCCAGGAGGAACCACAGGGACAGTGCCTGGTCCATGTTGCCTGTCTTGTAGGCTTTGATGAACTGGCTGTGGAAGAGGAAGAGGAGGGGACGCATGTTCAGGCCGCCTTACAGGGGACACTGCCCAGAGGAGACAACCACGGGAGGGTGACGCAGAGATGGAAAGGAGGAGGCCTGGGGGCCCATCCTCTCCATGGGCGGGGTCCTCAGGAGTCTTCTGAGCCCTTTGGTGGATTCCCCTGGAGAATCCCTTCTAAGCCGAGGGCTCTACGGCTGTGTATGTTTCCAGAAAAAGCCCAGCCTTACTCAGATTCTCCTCCACCACACCCTGGGGTCTCCAGTGGGGATCTGGGGCTTATGTAGCATCCTGAAGTTTTGTATTGGGTCCTGAGGACTGCTGCAGAGAACCCTGGATCCCTTCTTCCATGGATGTGGGAAGGTGCTGGAAAGGGACATGCAGGCCAAAGGCCTTGGCATGCCAGGTATCCAGGAGCAGCTGCAGCCAAGACAGGCAGAACCCCAGCCCAGTTCTCTTTAGAGGGCAACAGAAAAGGGCGGGGCTGAGGTGCCTGGAGCTCCACTATCAGTCATGGGCTTTTGGTCCCCTGGCTGTTTTCCCAAAGGTCCCTGGTACTGGGACCCTCTTAGGACTTCTGGCCAGATGCGAGTACGAGGCAAAAGCTGGCGGTGGAGATGAGGCCCAGGGCAATTCTGAGCCCTCTGCATGTGTGCTGACTCATTCTGTCCTCAAGGCACCCGTGCTATGCAGTCCACCACGATGACCTCCTCACTGGGTATGGAGGAAGTGGTCCCATACAGCTCAGATTCAACCCCTACCTGAGCCTCCACCCTTGCTGTTAACCACGATACATACTGCCATTTACCGTTCCCATTTCATTTTAACCACCTGCATGCATGAAGGAAAATAGACAAACATAAAGAAACTAAATGTGGCCAGACATGGCGGCTCACACCTGCAATCCCAGAACTTTGGGAGGCCAAAGCGGGTGGATCATTTGAGGCCAGAAGTTCAAGACCAGCCTGGCAACATGGTGAACCCCCATCTCTACAAAAATACAAAAATCAGCCAGGCATGGTGGTGCTTGCCTGTAATCCCAGCTACGCAGGAGGCTTTTTGAGGGAGGAGAATTGCTTGAACCCAGGAGGTGGAGGTTGCAGTGGGCCAAGATCACACCACTGCACTCCAGCCTGGGCAACAGAGTAAGACTCTGTCTCAAAAAAGAAAAGAAAAAGAAAGAAACTAACTAAATGGCAGTTCATCCCACCCATCATCCAAGTCAGAAACTACGATATGAGCATTGGCTGGGGTCTTCCCATGGCCAGGCCCTCCACCCGCCTCCTTCAATCTCCTAACCAAGCCTCTCTCCTTTCAGATCCATCCTCCCTTTCAGGAATCTTTCTAAAACCCCTGTCTCAGCCAGGAGCAGTGGCTCATGCCTATAATCCCAACGCTTGGGAGGCTGGGCATGGTACCTCACACTTGTAATCCCAGCACTTCAGGAGGCTGAGACAGGAGGTTCACTTGAGCCTAGAAGTTCAAGACCAGCCTGGGCAACACAGCAAGACACTGTCTCTACCAAAAAAAAAAAAAACCAGCCAAGCCTGGTGGTGGGCGACTGTGGTCCCAGCTACTCAGGAGGTTGAGGTGGGAGGATCACTTGAGTCCAAGAGGTTGAGGCTGCAGTGAGCTATGATTACACCACTGCACTCCAGCCTGGGTGATACAGTGAGACCCTGTTTAAAAAAAAAACCAAAAAACTGTCTTTAATAACAAATAAAAAACTAAAACCCCAGTGTCACCAAAAACTGCCAGAGCCTTCCAGTGCCCTTCAATAAGGACCCACATCCTCCGAGTGGGCCCTTGCAACTCCCCAGGCTCACTGCCCCTGGATGGCTCTCCATTCCTCCCCGCTCTGGTCTCAGAAGCCTCACCCACCCCTCCTCAGGCCCAGATGCCTCTGCATCTCTTTCACATCTCAGGAAATGTCAGTTCCTCCTCTGAGCCTCCCCTGACATCTTCTCCTTCCTCCTTTGTAACACTTGATATCCCTGTCCCTCCCAGACTCACTCAAGTTTCTTGAGGACAGGGGAGTAGCACAGGCTCAGCACTGAGAAGGCCCTTAATCAAGGTTTACCCCATAGGCCTTAGCGTAAAGCCCCTCCTCAGATGGCATTACTCAGCTTGTCTTCATCAATTACAGGAAAATGATTCTGTCCCACTCAGGAGAGACTGAGGCCTGGGGAAGGCCAGGGGACAGCCACTCTCCCTCCATCACTTAGGGCCCAGGCCTCCAGTACCCTCCCTGTTTAATCAACCAGCCCAGGCAGAAAGGGGGAGCCGTAGCCATGTCCTCAGATAGTCCTGAGGAAGTTCTCAGCCCTGGACAGGGAGCCCTCAGTCACGTATACCTGTCCAGTCTGCCTGGTGAGGGCCTCTCCAATCCTCCCTATCATCAATGCTTGCTGGAGGCTTCCACAGCCTCCAACGTGGCCCCTCTGCCTCTACTCTCTCTCTGTCACTCTGGTCCTTCCTCCCCATCACTCCCAGATTATCTTTTCAAGGATACCAGAATGGAAGCTCTGGAAAGACAAGGACAGTGTCTGTTAGGCTTACTGGCACCCAACCCAACATGGCACATGGAACAAGGGAATTCAGTAAAAACATCAAGCCTCTGATAGGGTGCCTGGAGAAAGCAAGGGGGAAGGACATCTTTTCAACACCTGGTGCTGGGACAACTGGATATCCACACGTGCAGCAGCTCACACCTATAATTCCAGCACTTTTGGAGGCTGAGATGGGTAGATCACCTGAGGTCAGGAGTTCGAGAGCAGCCTGGCCAACACAGTGAAAACCCATCTCTACTAAAAATATAAAAAGCTGTTGGGCATGGTAACACATGCTTGTAATCTCAGCTACTCAGGAGGCTGAGGCAGGAGAATCACTTGAGGCCAAGAGGTGGAGGTTGCGGTGAGCTGAGATCGCGCCACCGCACTCCAGCCTGAATAACAGAACGAGACTCTGTCTCAAAAAAAAAAAAAGGAGGAGGTTGGACTCCTATTTCACATCATTTACAAACTATAACACAAAATGGATCAAACACCTAAATGCCAAGAGATGCTGGGCACAATGGCTCATGCTGCTAATCCCAACCCTTTGGAGGCCGAGGCAGGAGGACTGCTTAAACCTAGGAGTTTGGGACCAGCTCAGACGATACAGTGAGACCCTGTTACTAAAAAAAAAAAAAAAATTAATTAGCCAGGTGTGTTGGTGCACATCTGTGGTCCCAGCTACTCAAGAGGCTGAGGTGGGAGGACCGTTTGAGCTAAGGTCAAGATTAAAATGAGCTATGTGATCACACTACTGCATTCCAGCCTGGGGAACAGAGCAAGATCATGTCTCAAAAAGAGATAAGGGTAAATCTTTGTTATCTGTATTTGGCTATGGTTTCTTAGCTATGTTACCAAAACCACAAGATACAAAGAGAAAAAATAGATTAACTGGACATCATCAAAATTAAAAACTTTTATGCTTCAGAGGACGCCATCAAGAAAGTGAAAAGCACACCAGGCAAGGTGGCTCAGGCCTGTAATCCCAGCACTTTGGGAGGCTGAAGCGAGTGGATCACCTGAGATCAGGAGTTCGAGACCAGCCTGGCCAACATGGTGAAACCCCGTTTCTACTAAAAATACAAAAATTAGCTGGGCATGGTGGCAGGCGCCTGTAGTCCCAGCTTCTCAGGAGTCTGAGG